AAGGGCTTTTGTTGTTGTTAATTTGGTTAGTTTTCCAGTATCTTGGCACTTTGAGTGGTCTTTATCAGGTTGTTAGAGTTCAGCCTTAAGTCTTTGTTCTTTCTCCTCTTCCCTCTGCTGTACCTGCCCCAGGACCCTGCCTTGCCCTCTGCACAGGGTTAGAGAGACAGCTTGGGAAATGTCTTTTTTGGAAGTTGGCAGATATTTGTATTGTTCCATTTCTTCTAGTAACTTTGAAGTTGTGAAGTTTGTGTGGATTTATTCTTATTATTAATTTATTTAGTTTGGGAGGATGGTTAGGAGATTTCAGTGTGCACAGTCACCATTTCCTCAGCTTCCTGGAAGTCTTTTCTGTTTGCTTTTTGTTGCCAGCATCCTCAGTCTAGATTGCATGCTGCATTAGAACAAGAACCATCTTTGTTTATTTTTGCTTTATCTCTATTTCTAGTACGTGGAAGATGCTTAGTGAATGTTATACAGTTCTTCTTCAAAATGTGTATTTTTTGCCTGTTTTTCTGTTGAAATATTAATTTTTGTTTTGATGATTTATATATGTCTTGTTACATCTGAAGGTTGATAATCTAATAGAGCAATATATCTTAGGTATATCAGCTTAAGATGTGAATCAGATGTCCAAGACATTTTCCTGTAACTTTTATTAGACTATTAGACTAAAAATGCAGGATTTAAACTGGTAGAAAATGAACCTGATATGGTCCCATTGATGATGGTATTAATTATGTAAATTTTTTAATGTTCATTTATTTTTGAGAGAGACAGTGTGAGCAAGGGAGGGTAAGAGAGAGAGGGAGACACCGAATCTGAAGGAGACTCTGCACTATCAGCGCCGAGCCCAGCGTGGCGTTCAAACTTACCAACAGTGAGATCATAACCTAAGCTGGAATCAAGGACCAGATGCTTAACCACTTGAGCCACCCAGATGCCCCTTTATACTTTGAATTATTGCCTTTTATTTTTATTTTTTTAAAAAAAATTTTTTTAAATGTTTTATTTATTTCTAGGAGGGAGAGAGAGAGAGACAACGTGAGCAGGGGAGGGTCAGAGAGAGGGAGTCACAGACCGAAACAGGCTTCAGGCTCTGAGCTGGCAGTCAGCACAGAGCCCGACACGGGGCTCGAACTTACAAACTGCGAGATCATGACCTAAGCGAAAGTCGGACGCTTAACCGACTAAGCCACCCAGGCGCCCTGAATTATTGCCTTTCAAAACATTCAAAGGGGAATTAGCTCCTCACCTCTGTTGCTTTATTAGGACTGAACCGGGTCTCTGGGTGCCTCTGGCTCATGGTTCCATATCAAGGAAGGAGAAGAGGAAATTAGTAGCACACAAGTGGTTATAAGTAGAAGAATGAGTTAGGAGCGAAAATAAAAGGCAAGAAGAGGCTTGGAAAATACGGACATAAGGTGTACTTCTAGGAAGTGCCCACCAACCAGGGCTTCAGTTGCCTTGTCTTGGCCCGTGTGCACAGAGTTGGCCATCCGTGCTCTAGGATTATATTCTCTGCCTCAAAGTAGACCCGCACTGTCAGCACTGTATTGGATCCCTTTTGTTACCTGCCTCCTAAAATTCCTCCAATCAGAGAAATGGCTGTGAGTATGAAACTCTGTCTAGAGAGAACAATACAATTTTAGTAGCTGAGGAAATTTGGTGTTTTGCATGCTTCCATTGAAAATGTTTGGATGTTTCATTGATTAGCAAGGAGAACAAAGAAGCCTTTCATTTTAAGGAAGGCTTTAGAGGGCATACTGGGTGGTGCCTGGTGAAGTGGGTGTTTTCTAGTGAGTGACATTTGGTCTATTTTTATAGTTGGAAACATTCTACTCTTAAGCTTATTGTTTAAGCAGGCAAGAGAGCATACTGTGCAGTCATGAGTGGAATTTTTACATTTGATCCCAGGGTCTTTTTTCTTTCTCATAGCTGGGAGCCTCCATGAATGTGCCTGTGAATTTATAAGTATTTTATTGGTTTCAGATCCTGCTCTCAGTTTACTTCCCTTTATGGATTATTCACAGGAAAGAGATTAGAAACATACTGGGAAATATCTAACAGTAAATGCTTTAAAAGTATTTTTTTAATGTTTGAGAGAGACAAAGCAGGAGCAGGGGAGGGGCAGAGAGACAGGGAGACAAGGAATCTGAGGCAGGCTCCAGGCTCCCAGCTGTCAGCACAGAGCCCGACGCGGGGCTCAAACCCACAAACCACAAGATTATGACATGAGCCAAAGTCAGACGCTTAACCAACTGAGCCCCCCAGGCACCGCCCGTCAGTAAATGCTTTAATATTAGATTGGGATTTCTTAAATTCTTCATTTATAACTCATTAGAGCTGCCATATAACTTTTTTATATTTTTCCAGGTTCTTGAAGCTCCTCTGTGACATTCTTGCTTAAGCCTTTCTCTTAGTTATTTCTGTGAGAGCAAGTCAACATTTATGTTCAGAATCCTAGATGAGAGTTACTTTCTTATATGTATTCAAGCCATTTTCCCAATTATTTTTTCTCAAAAGTCTAATTTTTACAGGTATTGTAAGAAAAGTAAATATTAAAAGTAAAACTACCCATAATCCTGACAACTGCCACCGTTTCCTGTTTTGTACAATAATTTCTGGTGCTTGTCCTCACACGCACCAATTGTTGCCTATTTGCACTGTGCTGCTTCATATTGTGTTGTTCTCATTTAACATTTACCAGATTGTCTTTCAAAAATTAAAAAAAAAAGTTCTGACACCTTTACACTTGCTATAATTTTTTAGGCTTACTATAATTTTGTAGACTTGCTATAATTTTTTACATTTAAATGATACATTAACATTTGAAACCTAATATTTTCTGAGGCTGATTCATATTCTTATTAACACCAAAATTTTGTCTTTGTCCCATATAATTTATATATGTATATATAAAGTATGTATATATGTGTATGTCAATCATTTAATTCCTCTCAGATGTAAAAGTGAGCTTTCTTGGGGACACCTGGGTGTCTCAGTTGGTTAAGCATCATACTTTGGCTCAGGTCATGATCTGACGGCTTGTGGGTTTGCGCCCCACGTTGGGCTCTGTGCTGACAACTCAGAGCCTGGAGCCTGCTTCAGATTCTGTGTCTGCCTCTATCTCTGTCCGTCTCCCACTCATGCTCTGTCTCTCTCTCTCTCTCAAAAATAAATAAACTTAAAAAAATTTAAGGGGCACTTAGGTAGCTCAGTGGTTAAATGTTTGATTTGGCTCAGGTCACAGTCTCACAGTTTGTGGATTTGAGCCCCACATCAGGCTTTGTGCTGACAGCTCTGAGCCTGGAGCCTGCTTTGGAGTCTGTGTATTCCTCTCTGTCTCTCTGTCTCTCTCTCTCTCTGTCCCTCCCCTGCTTGTGCTCTCTCTCTTTCTCTCTCTCTCAAAAGTAAATAACATTTTTAAAAAAAATTTAAAAAGTGAGCTTTCCTGGGGCGCCTAAGTGACTTAGTCACTTAAGCTTCCGATTCTTGATCTCTGGGGTGTGAGTTGAAGCCCTGCGTTGGACACCACACTGGGCGTGGCGCCTACTTAAAAGTTAAAGTGAGCTTTCCAAACAGGACAAGTAACTTTCTGTTAATTGCTTATCTGAATAGCTTGTTTAAAGTGTAATAGTTTTACACTTTAAAATGTAAATAGAACCTTTTTTTAAAAAAATATTTATTTCTAGGAGAGAGAGAGAGAGAGACAGCGTGAGCAGGGGAGGGTCAGAGAGAGAGGGGTCACAGACTCTGAAACAGGCTCCAGGCTCTGAACTGGCAGTCAGCACAGAGCCCGACGCGGGGCTCGAAACCACGAACCGCGAGATCATGACCTAAGCGAAAGTCAGACGCCTAACTGACTAAGCCACCCAGGTGCCCCTAAAGTGTAATTAGAACTTTTAATCAAAATTACATCTCTTACTGATTATATCCTTTTATTTTTTAGAATCACTTGTTAAATTCATCATGCTTAGAAACATTTTTAGAGCAGTAATAACTTCTAATTTTTAAGTGTGCTGGACTTTATTCTGTTTTTTAAAAATAATATTTTGTCAGGAACTTTCACTTCCCTTTTGTCATTTTTTCTTCTTTCCATGATTTGCAGTATATTAGAATTATCAGCTTTCTAATTCTCTTATATGTACACTTACTACATGTCTTGACTATAGTTTTTAGCCTTTGAGCTGTTTCCTCTGCTGTCCATATCCATTTGATAGTGAGGCACAAGAATAATGAACATCCTCAGAGGTTCCTAAAACCTCATTTTAGAGAGTGTTGTCTTCCCACAGTCTTTCTCTGGAATTCCCAATAAGGAGGCAAAAAGTATTCTCTCTTTTTCTCTGTTTCCTTTCACCTGAGAGTGCTCACAGTTGTGTAATAGGAAAAAAAGGTGGGCAGAAATTGACATGAGATGCAGCTAATCCACAGAACGGATCTTTAAGCCTGTCTTGGTATTTGAAGTGCCTGTAGGGTTACCTGGCATGAAGTAAGCAACCAGCAAGTTTTTGTTGGGCGGACACATGGGTTCATGAACAAGCCTGTCATGAAAACCACATGGATTTCTCAGATGGCAAAGTTATCAAAATCTATTTAAATGGTGTTAACTTGAGGTGCCTGGGTGGCTCAGTCGGTTAAGCATCTGACTTCGGCTCAGGTCATGATCTTGCAGTTCGTGGGTTCAAGCCCCACGTCGGGCTCTGTGCTGACTGCCAGCTCAGAGCCTGGAGCTGTTTCAGATTCTGTGTCTCCCTCTCTCTCTGACCCTCCCCTGTTCACGCTGTCTCTCTCTCTGTCTCTCAGAAATAAATAAAAACATTTTAAATAAATGAATGAGTGAATGAATGAATGAGTGAATGGTTTTAACTTGAGAGTCAGAAACTCATCTCCTACTCGTCAAAGTGCATTAACTACCACAATATTAGTAATAACAAAAGTTCTGTTTCTTTCTGTCCTGAACTGACCTGTGTATATGTATCACACTTTTGTTTCTAAAGGAAGTAGAAATTCGGAACAAAGACCTGGAGGGACAGCTGTCTGACTTAGAGCAACGTCTGGAGAAAAGTCAGAATGAACAAGAAGCTTTTCGCAATAACCTGAAGACGCTCTTAGAAATTCTTGACGGAAAAATATTTGAACTAACGGAGTTACGAGATAACTTGGCCAAGCTACTAGAATGCAGCTAAGGAAGGTTAAATTTCAGTGCCAATTGATTAAAAAATACACTGTCTCTCTTCCTAGGACTGTTCGGGCTCTGCATCAAGATCGCACAAAAAATTTGAATATCACTCCTCCTCCAGGAGGCTGATCTTTTGAAAATTGGAATTGTATATTTCAGTGTAAATTTTAGAATCCAGCTTGTAGCTAGTTGGGGAAAAAAGATGAAAAACTTGAACTACAAATTACCTCCATGTATATTATTGGCCATAGTTAACTAGAAAGATATAAATAGACACTTAATGCAATCTTTTTTTTTTTTTTTTCTGATATTAGCTAATGGGAGAATTACCAATGTCTGGGTCACATCCCCTTTTTGTGTTCAACACAGTGAAGGTTATCTGCTTTTTAAATTTATTTATGATATCTAAAGCTGTGTTTTGTGCAAAAACTTAGTGATGAAAGCCCTGTCTTCTGTTGTAATCTGAATAATTTCTCAGGATATTTTTGCACTGCTGAGAAGCAGTGCCATTACCAATTAATTCTTGCCAGGAGTGAGAGAGAGCTGTATCTTTAACTGAAACATACTTACTAGAACTGGGTGTATAGAGTTCTTCCCTTTTTTTATACTGGAAGATATTTCACTCGGTGACCACTCTGGTACACTCTGGTGTTCTTTAATCTTGTCTGCTGTATAGTTTACTTTTCCACATTGATTCCATGTATTTATGAGAAGAAACTGTCTCCCATTTTATTACACATTTTAAAGCCAACTAACGAAGGCAGCTGAGTCCCTCAGAAATTTTTCTTTTTAAATTTCTAATAAATTTGACACACAGTACTGAAACACAGCAGCCCGTCATTGACGGGCTGGTCTAGCAATGTTACGTATATTTACAGAATATGCAGTTACATTTATTTATATATTTTGCAAGAAATCTTTTCTGAATGATCAATGCATTTCAATTTACAAATAATAATGGTTATCGGGGAACTGTTTATTATAGATCATTTTAAGGTGTATAGCAATTTTAAAGGGGATCCATTTCCATCAAACAGCCGATCAGAGGACTATTGGGGTTGGAGCCGTGTACTCTGTCTGGGTCTTCACATCACCCACATCTCTAGTCAAACCTCACAAGGCAATATTCTGAACTGTTAACTAGGCATTTCACAACAGGAATTCAATTCAATAGGCTCTTCTCAATGAACAAGTTTTAATGTTGTTTTGATGTAATTTTAAAAGACTTTTAGCAAACATGCATTTCTTTCTATATTTCTTTGAAGAAGCTATTTTAAAAGTAAGCCAAGTGCTGTCTAGTCTGCTTATGAAGTTAGGAATGCCTCAGAGTCCATATATCTTTGCTGTACAATGCCTGTGATGTTGAGGAGGGTTCTTTTTTAAAGTGTATGCTTGAGTATCTGACTCCGTGGAGTCTGCAAATGCACTGACTTTGTACCCCGAAACGACTGAATTGTTAAGTACAAAATTAAGCTGATTAATCGATTTGTAACCATTTTTTCACTCACAAACAGCAACGCAACACTAGACAATTTTGTTTTATATATGTATGTGTATGTATGTAAATACATACATATTAATTTATATTAGAGTGAAAAATAAATGGTTTGTTTCTAAAGTTAGTTTCTAAAGTGAGTTTTCAGGTGTCTCTGAAAAGTTTATATCAGACACTTACTCATCGTGTATTATATGTCCTATAACATCATGTAAGTTACCTCCATCTATTTTAGGATACTTTCCTTACCTATTTATTATAGGGAGGATAATTTAGGTACACAAGCTCAGAGCTGAGATATTTCTCTGATAAATCAGGTAATAAAATTTATTTGTTGATGGAATTTTGAAGTAGATGTGCTTTTATCCATCAGTTTCTGAGTAGTAGAGAGCACCAGATTTTAATTTAAATAGGGGACGTGAACACTAGGGATCAGGGAATTTAGTTATGAAGAGTTAAAAATTAAAAAGCAAACCAGTATAAGCTGTTGAAATGGTAAGTGAATTATTTTAATGATGTGATATTTTTAAATTTTGACATAGTTGTCGTTTAATGGGAAAAGTACTCAACAAAATGTCTCCACCTGAATTGTACTGATAGGTGAGATGTGTGTCATTCAATATATACATATAACCATATGTATATACAGAAAATTATTTTTAATATTTTCCTACTGATAAGACATTTAAAATTGGAAATTTTGTGAGTTTTTTCCTTGTCCAATAGGGCCTAAATTTTTTTCTTTTCTTAGGGATTTAACAACTTGAGGGCTGCACCTTTAAATTCCCAGATTGTCATTAGACGTGTACAGTATATGGGAGAAGGTGGACACAAGTGCACATATAAATAAAATCTTCTTAGTAAGACTATTTTCAGTGTTCATTTACAGTAGGAGAGTAGCTAGAAATCATCATCTATGAGTCATAATTAGGTTGTGTGCCTACTGTAGTTTTCTCCATTTCTGTATTATAGAAATAAAAGTTTGCATATTAACATGATTTTTCCCAGAGACGAGTATTATATGATGTATCTATATTTAGATCAAACTGTGGTAATATATTGATCAGAAAATGATGCTGGGGGACTATAGCCTGAACATGTGGACTTGAAGTGACACAGAAAAGGAGAGCAGAGATCGAGCCCATTGTGTATAAGTTACTATATGATAATTATGAATTCTTGTACAAAAAAACAACTGAAAAAAAGGAAAAACAAAAATACAATTTTTATTTTGAAATACATTTGTTGTTTCTCTGGAGAATGTACTTTATCTTCTTTTTCCTTCAGTCTTTTACAGATCCTAAGCATTTAAGTGATGGCAGCATTCGCTCAATTCCTACAGGTGCTACTGGATTTCACCTTTAGTGTGTTATGTTGTGAAATCCTAACTTTGACATAAAAGGTTTTAAAAGTATTTTCCTGCCTGGAAAATTAGTTTTTGTTTCTCCTCTCTCTCCTTCTCTCCCTTTCTCTCTCGCTCCTTCTCTTGTGCTCTCTTTTTTCTCCCTTTCTTTCTGCAGATTAAAAAACAGTTAATGAAGTTGCATTCCTCTCCCCCCCTCCCTCCATCCCCATAGAAGAGCTTCAGCCCTGTTGTGGATGTCATGTTTTGCTCTTATTTAACTGCTGGGAAGCAGTTAGAGGAAAAGCTGGCAGGTTTTTTCCAAATGGAAATAAAAGGGACACTTGAAATTAAACCACTACCTTTTAAAACTCATTTTCTGCCCTGTTGAAATTAAATGTATTCTCTCACACGTGTGCTCTGGCTCTCCATATTTGTGTTTAACTGTGGAGTGAGCATCTCATCTCTCTCCCTGGAGACCTGGTTTTCTGTCTGTTCTGGAAGGGACGCCGACCAGAGGGAAAACTTGTTTGGTGGCATTGTTTTGTTTTATAAGAAATCCTGTCATTTTTGGGGTATCAAATGATTTTACCATTCCCGATTTGATGTGCGTGAAGTCCTGGAATAGTCTTCACTGAATTTTTGTCTTTTACATGTTTAGCTCTGTTCCTTTATCATTCATGAGGTAAATTAATTTATATGAAATATTGAGGAAGCTTTCAGGTAAGAAGTAGTTCAGAATGACACGTTTAAAATTTTTCTCAAGTAGGATACTATGCTATAGTAAGTATTGTTTGAGAAGATAATTTTCATGTAAGAGTATATTTTAAACTACTAGAAAAAGATAATTTTAGAACGCAAGCAGGCGAATCATTCACCCTACTTGAAATTGTGAAAATGGGTTTTTCCCCATCTAAAATTGAACCTTATATTTTGACAATAGTTTTTCTTTATGGGAAATTGATATGTAGATGTCACAGAAATATAAGCAGTACTATTAATTAATGGTTTGTTGTCCATATGTTACATAATAAAATAGCTGATGCTTTTATCCAAGAAAAAAACCTCAAAAACCCAATCAGCACTGCACTACCTAGTGATTTCTGCTTAGTACCCTAGACAGAAAAGAAACATTTGAGGTTATTTTTACCCAAAACAGGTGACCCAGGAAGAGAAGTTGCATCTAGACTAGAATAGGGAAAAGGCCACGAGCTCCCTGTAGATTTCTGGTCAATTCTCTGATCTCATTAAGGTCCTTTCTGTCCTTTGGATGAAAGAACACATTTCAGCAGATGGCAGGAGCTTATCTGGAGGAGGAGAGGGTATTTTTTTGTGAAAGCAGGGCCAGCACCGAGTGAGAGCGCGCTGCCCTCAGTCTTCATCTTTGGCAGCTCAGACTAGCTAGAGACACCTGTTGCTTTTCACTGAACAAGCTGGGATTGCCTTAATGAAGTTTAAAGGCTTTCAGAAGATCCTGTCATTTGTCTTGTCAGGATTTATAACCTAATAGAAGACACCTGATGTTCAGAACACCCCATTCTGTGGAATTCTGACCAATTTTTTCCAGTTCTTGTCACATCAGCTCTACCAGGGATAGAAATATTGGTCTATTTTCTCCTAGTAACACCAAATTAAGATGATAATGAGTCCCTAATAAATGCAGAGTTAAGCCCATTTCTTAGGAAATGTCTTCTGTCTTCTTTCCACCAAAAGTCAAGATTTTATCTTGTTATTTGTGTTTTATAACTGTTACTATATATGCATGTATAGTAATTTCTTAAATGACTTGTGTGTAGTACTTATTTGATTGTTATACCTTAAATGGAATGACTGTTTCATAAAACATGGCCAGAAAGCAGATGCTCTTGAAGTAAATGATTTCTCGACAACTTCAGTACGAAGTGGAACAGAAAGGAGTGTTTGTTGAATCTCTGCCGCGTGACAGACATTGTACTAACTGTTTGACGTTTCATTTCTATGTATAGGGGCCTGCGCAGGGGTGCTCCTTTGCGAGGGGGATGAGGGAAAGGAAGGGAAGAGGCTCAAATGATTTCACCTGCTGTGTTGCTACAGGGATCAGTGTGGTCATCCAGTGCGCCAGTCAGAAGGTGGAGGAGATCTTGCTCATGTTTCTGGTACAGTTTCTCCCTCTAGCTTGACTGCTTTGCTTCTAGAATATCTGTTAGGGTCCTTCTTAACTATAGATTTTGTATTTCCTCTTTTTGAACTTTGTCCTTCAGCCTCCTTTGGTGTTTACAGTGCTTGTTATCATTTGGTTGCAAATGGTGCTTTGTTTGCAGATCATATTTATGCAGTGTGCTTTAGTTCCATTTTTTTTTTTTTAACTTAGAATCTTCAGATAATCCAAGGACAGTGCACTTGTTATTTCAGAATTTGAGTCAATAAAATTTAAGTAGGAAGTATTTATAAAGACCTTGGGAGGACCATTCATTTCTTAAATTCCCTAGTGAAATAAGCTGTAAACCTGTAAAACTCACCCCCTAAGACGAAACAATAGTTCAGCAGGATGTGGGTTTTGCAGTCAGTGTTAGTTAGGTGACTGTGGTCAATTCTGGTTGCACCAGAAGGCTTCTCCAGGTTGATCACATCATCAGATCAGCTGCAGAAGTATCTCATGGCCCAGATCTTAGGCGATACCCCTCATATAGATGAAATCATATGATATTTGTCTTTTGGTGTCTGGCTTGTTTATTTCATTTGGCATAAGCTTTGCAAGGTTTATCCAAATTGTGGCATATATCAGAATTTCACTCTATTGTAGGAATATACCACATTTTGTTTCCATTCATCTGTTGATGGACTCTTGGGTCATTTCTACCTTTTGGCTGCTGTAAATAATTCTTCAATGACCTTCATGTACAAATATTTGTTTGGGCCCTTGCTTTCATTTATTTGGGTATATACATAGGAATGGAATAAGATTCACAGAGCAAAATGCCATCTCACTCAGATTCCAGCTGCGGGCTCAATGTTTGTTAACAGACTTGTAATTGATCCATCAGTATCAAACCTAAGCCTTTTACTCTCTTACCTAGAATATTTATTGAGTACAGGCTATGTCCCAGTCCCCATTTTAAATAGAGACCAGAGAGAAAATCTCCTAATCTAGTGTAAGATACAGACAGTTATTTCACAGTATATAAGTACTGTCATATAGGAGAGCACTAGCATGAGGCAGCCCAGAGGGAAGAGGAGTTGTGAAGTCTTTCCCAGAAGATTGAAGATTCTCCACTGAATCTTGGAGGAGGAGCCAGCTGGTTGAAGAAGGGGTGAAATTTCAGAGAATTGCAGAATATGTCATATACAAAGGCCCAGAGAGATGAAAGCATTGAGACATTTAGAAAATTAGAATGGGTTAGTGCACTGAAACACAGGACGTTAGGCAAGGGGATATAGCACAAGATGGTGATAGATAGAAAAGGAGGTAAAGGGTAGATCAGTAAAGTCTTTGTAAGTCGTATGGAAGGCGCAGGTTTTATTCTGAAAGTAGCAGAGAATGTGAAGGATTTTTTTATAAGGAAGTGATTTAATAAAAAACCGTATATTCTGAGGGTATCTGGGTAGCTCACTCTGTTAAGCGTTCAACTCTTGATTTTGGCTCAGGTCATGATCTCACCATTGTGAGATCAAGCCTCACTCGGGCTCTGTGCTGATGAGATTCTCTCTCCCTCTCTTTCTACCCCTTCCCCACTTGTGTGGGTTCTCTCTCTCAAATAAATAAACATTAAATATATATACATATATATTTATTTAACATTTATGTTCTGTAAGTCTAGGCAGTTATACAAATCACAGCATTCTCTTGAAAGGCTGCATTATGGCAGTGACAGTGGAAATAGAGAAGATGGAATGGATTCAGAGGTCAGTTAGGAGGTAGAATCAATAGAACATCTTGGCTAATGTAGATGGTAAAGAGAAGAAAAGAATACAGGGTGATTCCTAGATCTCTCGAGTTGGACAGTCAGGTGAACAATCTCATTTACTGAGCATAAATTCAAGATGGGGAGGGGTTTAGTTCTGGTGGAGGCTAGGAGGCAAGACAAAGCAAGATGAATGATGAGTTAATATTGTTTTGAGTTTAAGGTGCCTATGGACTAGCCAAATGGAGATGTGAGTCTGGATGGAGCTTAGAAGAAAAATATGACCTGGAGATCCATACTTGGGAACCGTCAGTATGCGTGATGGTAATTGAGGGCATGAGAAATGAGAACACAAGATAGAAATGGCACTTTGGGGCAGGTGCAGCACAAAAGTTTGTGAAAGAGACAAGGAATGGCCAATGTGGGGAGTAGATACACAGAGAGTAGGGACTCACGGAAGCCTAGAGCAGAGTTTCAAAGAGTCAAATTTCACACAAAAACAAAGCAACTCCTGTCTGAAGACATTGATATTTGAAGTGTGTTCAGACCCTTTGTTAACATTTGCCTCTTAAATATATTTTAACTGGAAAAATTAAAAGCCAACCAACTCAAATATGCTGCTTATAACGTGAGCACATGGAAATCCAGCAGACATCAGGACCAGGATAATTGTTTCTGTGCAGAGGCCAGATGAGGCTGTCCCTGAAGAGCATCTTTGTATTTCAAGGGGAGTTACTAAATAACTCAATTTTCCTACTCAGAATTAGGACTTTTTGATACTTTGCAACTGAAACAAATACAGAAATAGGGTCTACCTAAGCTAACATCAGTCTTCTGTAAACCCAGTTTCAAATGTTTTGTTATTTATGAAAATAACGTCACTTTTCTTACTTATTTATTAAATGTCACGCACCACCCTTTCTGTTAGTGTGTGGTTTTTCCACGCAGCTGTTGTTTCTGAGGGGTTGTCACAATAGAGGGCCGCAGATAAAAGAAGATTGACACTTTCCTAGTAGAACTTGGCTTATTTTTCTGTGACTCACTTGTTTCTCCTCAAAGTCAAGTTCTAGGGGCTGAATTGCATTTCCTACACTTTTCTAACATATTATTTGGATACTTATTACTAGGAACAGTGTTTGCGTTGCTTTGGGAAGTTTAGAGAGTTAATACTTGTGTTATCTTAAATGTCCTTTATTCTTCTTTCATATTGATTCATAAATAACTGTATGCAGATTATCTCTGGTAGAAATGATCTTAAACAGTGACAAGAACAACACTCCTTGTATTTGGTTTCAGATTGCTGTATGGTATTTGATTTTTGCTTCTTGTTTAAGTTAAAATTAGCTTGAATTTTTTGGGTAGACACAACTTGCACTGCTTGGGCAACAAATGAGAGCATGTTAGACATTCCAGGAAGAAAAGAGGAGCTACTGGTTTTCACATACAGCTCCAAGGATTCCATAAAATTTGCAAATCATTTGTGAATTGTCAAATAAATTCTTAACTATTAAACCATTTTTGTTCATATTTTTCTATTTAGTGATTAATCTTGGTCTCTTTTAACAGAGCCCTAATTTTAGAGTATACTCTGCATTGAAATCCCATGGTATATGTCAAAGTAGAAAGCGTAGAACTTCATGGTCTGTGGCACATGACCGTCTCACAACAGTCGATGACAAATTTTCATGACAATGTCATGACCTAAATGTCACTGTTCTCCCCACTTTGTAGATTTTACAGAATCTGAGATTCAGCAAGATGAAGTGATTGGCCAGGTCAAAGGCCACCAAGGAGTAGAACATAGGCCCTATGCCTGCTAACCCTGTAACCTTCCCATTCCATCACGCCCAAACTGTGAACTGCAGACCTTTTTTAAGAAGACAGGTACAAAAGTTTATCAATTTCCAATATTTAACAGCCTGTCACTTAATGAGAAAAATCATTCATTTTCCATTTCACAATGGTCCAATGTCTCTGAGTATTTATGTCTCTGCTTTCTCCTTTTTTGGGGAAAAAAAAAATGTATGCTACTCATTCATATGTACTTTCTTTTTGCAAACATTCCTAATAGTACAGTAGAAAAAGAAAAAGAACGAAAATGACATTTTTTTTTTAATTTTTAAAAAATGTTTTATCTATTTTTTTTTTTTACAAATAGTTTATTGTCAAATTAGTTTCCACATAACCGAAAATGACATTCTTAATAACAGTAGAACCTTGATCTATCAATTCCTTCCCTAGAAAGCATGTCTTCTTAGCATATTTATATGATTTATACTAAATTTATATATAATATTTATAGATTTATATAAAATATTTATGGTTTATAGAAATATCTAATTGTTTTGGGGGTAAAGGGTATATAAATTCTATTACAGTGCGTCTTGCTCTATAATTTGCTGGGTTTTTGTTTTTTTTTTTTAACTTAATCTCTTTGGAAGCTCCATCCAAGTTAGTATGTATTGTTTTTAACTCCTTCAGAGTGTTCCATTTTATGGATATATCACAGTTTAAGCTTTTCCATATTTTTTCTTTTTCATGCTATCTTCCTCTTGACCTTAAGGCTATTTTGTTAAGCACAGTATTAGAGGTATTCAAGATTAATTAGTACGCAGTTACTGAATGTCCCATAGTGCCTTTTATAGCCCCAATGAAAATGAACTTTAGATTAATAAAGTTTCCTAAAAATGAAAACTCAAAAAAAAAGACTTTTAACTGGTCTGATAAAACTTTTTCTGAATTACACTGCAAGCAACACCAGGCAATATGCTTAGAACGTAGCAGTCACTCAGTAAATGTGTGAAATGACTAAACATGCTTACTCTCTTAGAAAAGAAGGGACGCCTCACAGAAACTAATCTTTGCTTAATGACTCCGTCCACTAGCTCTTGTACAGTGTCCCCATCTGGAGTGCCTGCAGGACCATCAGGGGCATATAGGAGAGTTCAAAATGCAAGGTGCTGTGCTTTGTCATCCTCAAAGTGGGGAGGAAGGGGACAGGACTGAAAAGGAAAGGAGAAATAGGG